CTTAATTACCATAGAGCAAGACACTCCCTCACTTTGATCAAATTGAAACCCTAATCAATTCTACCATTCCAATCTGGAAATATTTAAGGGAGATAGAATTACTCTCATTCTTCCTGAAGTTCAGGATTTATCAACCTTGGCACTATTGACATTTTGGTCTGAAAAATTCTTTGTTGTGGGGGGCTACCCTGTACACTGCGGGATGGTTAGCAGTATCTCTGGCCTCTACCCATTAAGTACCATTAACACACTCCTCCCAACATGTGACAACCAGAGATATCTCCAGTCATTATGTCACTTAGAGGACAAAATTCACCTCCCCCTCCACTCTGTTGAGGTCCAGTGCTCTAGCCTAACGATGAGCAGACTAATTTTAACAATGAGCAGTCCTATTTTAACAATTCATATATCAGTGCTGTCCAACAGAAATATAATGAGTTACATATGTAATTTAAAATTTTAGTAACCACATTAAAAAGGGTAAAATAAACAGGCAAAATTACTTTTACTAATATATTTTACTCAACTTAATATTTCCAAAATGTCACTTCAACATGTAATCAGTATAAAAATAATGCATGTGAAATTTTAATTCTTTTTCTGTACTAAGTTTTTGAACCCTCGTGTATATTTTATATTTACATCCCATCTCAATTTGGACTAGCCACATTGCATTTACTCATTTGCCACACATGGCAAATATGTGCCATTCTGTACCCTGCAGCTATATACAGTGAAATCTGGCAAAAGCCACAACAGTCAATATCAACAGATTAAACAAACAAACAAATAACAACAAACACACACCGCACCCAGATCTTCTGGGTTTCTAATACCATTCTCTAATAAAAGGAACCAGAGCTCCTTGGAGAAATGGGTAATTCTAGGGCTGGGGCAGAGAATGTCCAGGTCATCAAAAATAATGTCTGAGAAACTGTCACAAACCAGAGGAGGCTAAAGTTCCATGACTACTAAATATAAGGTGGTGTCCTGGATGGGATCTTGGAATGGGAAAGGGACATTAGAGGTAAAGTAGGATATCCAAATAAAGCATGAAGTTTAGTTAATAACAATGTATTGAAGGCACTGGTTCTTTAGATGTGACAAATGAACCATAGTAATATAGTAAGAAAAGAGGGAACTGAGTGAGGGGTATACAGGAACTTTCTGTAATATCTTTGCAACCTGTTTGTAAATCTAAAACTATTCTAAAATAAAAGATTAACTTAAATTTTAAAAAGATTTTGTTTTTTTTTTTACAGTGCTGGGTAGATTTTCAAATCTTTAGTGAAGTGGTTTCCAGATGGCTAAAGCCAGATTGCAGAGATAGGCAGACGCCCCAGCAAGACCCAATTGAAGGTTAATCTTTCTTAACCCTTTTCTGGCTCATATTTGGCCCTATCGTGGAGCCACCGGCCTCAATCTTCCCCTTTCCCCAATTTAATCATTTGTTTTACAGTACCATTTTTTTGCAGT